ATATATTAGTACTTCTTATTAATTATATATTAATTATATATATTAGTAGTTCTCCTTAATCTGTAGATAATGTTGCTGATCCTAATTATGAGCCTATTTCAAAATATAATGGCATTATATTATATCAATATGTATCCAACAGATGAGTCCGTCGACGGAACGTAAATAATAAATTGTAATCAATTTACTGATACAATGCTGTTATTTTTTCTAAGAACTGCACGACAACAAAAATAGGCGTCTGCTCTTTGCATTATTCAATAAGCAATTACCATACGTTCCGCTCTCTCAGGCCCTATGAAAAGAATCCAGCAGAAACGTTATTTCGCTCTACTCTGTTAAACATTCGCAGGTCCTATAGTCGATCTATATGGCAAAGTAAAGAAGCGAGGCTTCGATCGCAGATCTTGTTAGGCAAACGATATAGCGGGTATGCACGTCGTAAGAACGGTAGCGCTATTTTTTTTTACAGTAATTGCACTAGTGGTACCTAGGAGCCATGTATAATATCTGGCTGGCACCACGCGCGTCAGTGATCGATGCAGCAGACGGCTAAACTCGAGGGCTCGAGACGACCCTGTTGTGCCGGCAGCTATCATTAACGCTCGGCCGCATTCAGCATCAACGAAAACGAGCGTTGCCTGAGGTTGAAGGATTTTACAGCCATCACAAAACGCGCCACTGTCGATCATTAGTTAGATCTTCCTCATTCAGAATCTCGTGTTGCTAGAGTTAGATACAAGTAGCTCATTCAAAGGTAGGAGTAGTGTCATTAGGCTGGTTATACTTAATGGACCCGTGCCTATTTCTGAAATCGTATGGTTTTACGTACGTAGCGAACCGTAGTAATATTTCGTGTACCACTGGTTCATTCTGCTTCTACTCTAGAAAATATTCTTATAACTATAAAGGAAAAAAATGGGTTTTTTGGAGTGAAGAAGCAAATGTTATTGTAAAATCAAGCATGCTTATTCTGACATACGCCACGATCCTAGTTGTTGGCGACACATAGTCTGGGTGACTAATGCGCATCTGTTACGCGTGAGGGCGCTGTTGTGGCAAGCAACGAGCATGATGCCAATCTCAGCGTTGGAAAAATTATTAATAATGAAGAAAATAGGAAACTAAGAATGTATTATTAGGATTAATAATGGCTGCTTGCATGGTTGCCATGCCGTCTTGTAGATCTATTGGAAAAAACCACAGTCAAATCCTGCGAGACTCACTCTAGCTGGATTCCTAGTGAGGGCATGCTATGTATGTAAAAATAGATGATTCCGGAGACTTACTCACCTAAGGGTAATAATTGACAATAGCTAATAAAATGCCGTTTGGGTATTCGATGTCCAGAAAGTCTTCATCAGGACTCCGCTCTATTTAATGTGTGTACGTTATGTGGAAGAACTAAAATCGTATCGAATAAACGAATCCCGGCATTATGTGCCGAATCTGTTGACGTAGAGCGGGCCACAAATAAGCAGCTAGAGGTAGTAGGTCGTTACGGCTGGCGGTCGACCTGGGTCAGCAGACGAATGGTGTCGTTGTTTGAGGGAACATTTGAGTCCTCTGTCTGGGACACGAGGGAAAGGTCCACTGGTTCTACGCATCGACGCACTCGTAGTTCGGAGCACCCCAACTTTTGGCCGGCTGCGTGCTCACCCGCCGTTCGCCTGTCTAATGGTCAGGACCGATAGACCCAATCTAGCCGTTCGTTTTCGTGCAGCGTACGTTAATACAGCATTAGACGGCCCTTTTTCGATCTGGTCCGTTACGTCACGGACGATTGTAGCGTTACTACCTATGAGGTTAAGGGCACTAAACATTTCCGAGGATTTGTACACGTTTGAAGTAGATCCAATTCAATTTGGTTGAACTTCACCGTCCAACGGCTTTCTATTGACCAGCCACGTGGCGAATTACGTGAAGAGAGATAATTGTAGC